CAAAACGAGAAGAGAAAAAATGTTCTTCTCTCGTCTTTTGTTCGGGTGAATCTTCAGTGCTATGTTCATCCATAGATGAAGTGGCCCTGTAGTGAACAAAAACATTGCATCATAAATAAAATTCGATCATTTCTTGTGCAAATATGCAATGCACCGTTTCATAAGTATACCCGGACATCGTATATTCTCCATGTGCTTGTGCATTCCCATTTCGAAAAACCGAAAAATGAAGTCGTCTGAATGTGTACGCTTTGAACACGACGAAAAAGCTGGCACCAACAAACAAACAAAAAATTAAGAACACAAAAATGACAAAGTATTATTACACCGCAATTCACGCAGATGAAGTGAAAATATGAAAGACAAATTCACATATTTGTCAGATTGAATATATTGATTTAGTTTGTACTGAACATGAGCGATACATAACATGGCAATATCACATTTGAATGCTATCACAGACGAATGGAAATAAGTGCGCTCACACTTGCGCACCCGCACACATACCATTCTCTTTGTCTGCTATAAAAACGATGCTTTTACGATGCGAAACAGTGAAAGTTGCAATAAAGACATATCAAATAAAACGTATGAGCTCAAGAGCATTTTATCTAGAAATATCGTGGAAACAATCACCGAATGGGAGCAAGTGGAGGAGCACGTATCACATAGAGGGAGAGAGAGACGGATGGAGAAAACTGTGCTTCCAATGAAAAATACAGAAATTCCCATTCAGTACACATGCATGGTATGCCTCAGGGATGCTATTTTATTAAGATCAGTTCTTTTTTGGTGGTTTTTGTTGTTGGCGTCGCCGTTGCTATTGCCATCCTTTGTCTTTCTTTTATGCAGCATAATAAAAATCGTACCGATTTTCATGAGTGTGTATTTTTTTTTTGTCTGGCAAAATAATGTCATTTTAAATGTGAAATGAAACGGCGTTAAAATATGCACACACACCAAAAACACAACATCAAAGCGCACCAAATGCTCTCAATCGAAATTGAACCGGAAAAAATGATGATCCAAAAAAAAAAATATTTTCGTCACCGAAACAAAAAATGTGCGAATAAAGTCGTAAATGATGGTTTTTTATTCAGTTTGGTCCATACATGATGAATCATTTGTTCGGTCACTTTGGCACAGGACACATACACACCGCCACACTTCATCAATCTGCTTATGATTAAATTCCCGTTTTATATGGGCTCTACATTACAAATGAAAACCGGATGGAATCAATTTAAATGTAATTCATATGTACAATCCCCCACATTGAGCACACCATGCATTTCCACCGCGCCATTTCCCATTAAGCACATCAGCCCCACTTTGAAATACGTGTCGAACGGTCGGAAAAATTAATGAAAATTAATAAACTGGGTTACACGGCCGCTCGCTCCACTCACAGTTATTTGAGCCAAAAAAATAGTGGATTTTGTCCACTAGATCAAATCACTAGCACCGCTGCCGATGCCGATGCGGATTGGTGGACATATACTTTTTGTGCCCATCACTGCACCATCGCACACCATTTCAATTCATTTAATGTGCTAAATATTTTGCACGCCATGATTAACTTTTGAATATTTAATTTCTATTAATTTTGATATAACATTTTAAATTAAGCAAACATGTATAACTGTTGCTACTGTCATGTGATTTCATTTCCGATTTTTGGCCGCGTTCCGTGTGCTCATCTTGCATACGGTGGACTATTTCGTTATTTCATTTTATGATTAAGCGTCCAATTAAATGGTATCAGCCGTATAAATCATGCGGTCCGATTAGTGCTTACAAATTGGATCGTTTACATTTGTAGCCATTTGAGCACGAGAAAGAGAGAGAGAGCGTGCACGCCACACGCTGCATTCGACGTGGTGGTGAGAAAAAGCAAAAACGATGTTTGTTGTGGCTAATAGAATATTGCATGTTACCATGTTGAGCAAATAATAATCAGGATTATAACAATGATAATATTTTTGAAATTGCTTTTATGGACATCTTTTTGCTGGCAATAATATTTGTGAAAATAATTATTCAATGCCAGCCACAACAGCACAAATAACACATATATCCGTGTTTGATCTAAGGTGAATTACACGATGGCATTAAACTATCGACGAAAAAGTTTTTTTATGCTCTCATCCATTGCTCTCCAGTTTGGCTTGGGGTTGCATCGTTTTGCACAATGTGCGGTTGAGTATGCTGAATCTCGCAAAAATGTTAAGTAATAATTCATGCATTTAGAAAACCTGACCAAACTACTATCGTTATTTTAATTGTATCTCTCTCTTACTCTTGCTCGGATTTGAAATACGGAGCCGTTGCATTAGCATTAGTATTACAATATCCATTGCCGGAGATGAACATGCACCGACAAGATTGTTGACAATGTGGTTTTTAGTATGTGCAAAATCTAACAAATTGATACATTTGTATACATACAGAGAGGGAGAGAGACATACCGGAATGAATTTGTCCAGTGGACCGACATACCGAATTAACTCAAAGGTAATTTCACCTGATTTAATATTTAAACGAAAGTCGATTACAATTAAAACTTTGAACTAGAAAGGAAATGGAATTGTGGACGTTGTGCTATCAGTTTTTGAAACCACTGCATACTTACACACAAAATCTTTCACTCTCTTTTCCTTTGTCTATTCGGAAGCACATTCAGGTGAAAAAAAAGATTTGTAGGTATGTAAGAGTTGGGGCAATCTATCTCGTTAAGGGAACAACTTTATTTCGGTTTTCCATTGCATTAATCTCAATTCACTGAAATTCAATGCATTTTCTCATGTCGGTTTGTTCATTCAGACACATTTCACACACATACACACCGAGAGCCGATGTTTTCGGATAGTTCATTACATTTTCACTTCTATTACATGTGATTGTTGTAATCCTTCTTCCAACCATTTTCCACAGCCAATGGAATGAGGAGAGAACATTTTGTTTAGTTTGTGACACTGACACTATCTGCAAACGGGTTTCGGGTTGTATTTAACGAAAACTACTCGAAAAACTTTTTATCGAACATTTTCACCGTTACCAAAAATTGGTTTCTCTCGACGACGACGGCAGCGGGCGACAATGTTGATGGTAACGGCAACGGCAACGACAACAACAAACAGACGAAACTACTTTTTCGAACCAAACATTAGACATTAAAGCCGTCGGATTCTCTCCATCTCTGGATTAGTGGATATTTTTTATTTTCTATAAATTCCTAATTCTTTGTCTCATAATCGACCTAAAAATTATTTATCAACTTTGCACATATCCAAAAAATTATTAGACACAATTTTGCAATGAACTGGCCCGAATCACGTGTACATTAATAAAATTGAACAAAAAACGTAATCTTTGCTTCTGCGGACGGGGAATGGTCTGGCTACAAGTCTAGCCAAAACTTTTTAGCCGAAACTCAAACGAAATATTGCAGACCGAAAATCATCAAATAGCGTCACGCATCACACGAAGTCACTTTTACTTACACGTTTTAACGGTGTGCTCCACTTTAACATATTTGATGTGCTACAGTGTTTACCCTTCGAATTATTATCGTCACATCGTGTATATACTTAACTTGTTAAATGATTCAAGCAAAGGTAAAGTAAATAAATCGCACGACAAATGCAGGTGCCCCTGCTTATCCATTCGAAATGCGGAAACTCATGTTTTGTTACATTATTTTGGATTGTGGATTGTGTTAATTTGAAACATGAATACCACACACATACAGCAACGTAGTATATACGACAGGTGGAGAAAATTGGACTTGTTTTTATTCATAATTCATTGATTTAAATTTATTTGCCGATAATCAAATATACATTTTATGATGATCCAATGTGTTTATTTGTTTCTTGCGTCAATGAGAGACCATAATTTTAGGGTAGTTTTTATGATTTATATTACGTTGGGTATATTGAAATTATACTTTTTTATGTACATTTTTAATTGAGTTAACAAACCTTCCGTTTGATTCATCACATGGTTTTCCGATTTTTTTTTTCTTCAAGAGAACCAATTTTTTTGGGGTTTTTCATATGTAAAAAGTCGATCAACATGTTCAAAACGACAATGGCTAGACATCATTTTTTCAATGTTTGGTCAATTGGTTATTTCGTTATTTACACGGTTCATTTGGAACACAATAATTATCTTCCTCGTTGCTTATAACTTCTAATTTCTATCGTAAATTGTTTGAATTATTCACGAGTGGTAAAAAACCAAATAATACATCAAAAATCGAACAATATATTCATCAGTTCATATCGTAAAAGTCGGTTCGTTTGCCCGAAAATTGGTTTAAAAGTTTGAACCCACTTGAATGGAGACGCCATGCGGCTTGTCGTCTTGCTGAATTGCTGAATAATGGAAAAAAAACGTTGTACATTCAACTAATAATCCACATTCTGGTTTGATGATGGCATTTCAAAGACTTATTTACCAGTTATGAAGAACTAGTTGAACACAAATATTCAAGCACATATGCTTTGTGGTTGCATATAAACACAAACAGTTGAATATAAATAGCATTTATTGAATACTCTTTTTGCATTAAAGTCGATTTTAAAGTTCCAAAATTCATTAAAAACTCAGTGATAACTTTGTACAATATTAAGACAAAAACTATGTTTTGCATAAAAAAAATTTGATCAAATTCCAACCAAATCGTATTCCAGAGACCAATAACAATGCCACTTTCATTAAAAATAGTTTTCAACACGCATCGATGTCCATTGCACATGTGTGCATTTCAACGTATTTACATTTGATTCAATTTGCCTGTTGGCTTATTTATTTAGATAAGTGTCGTAGCAATAAGCAGTGCTTGTCAAGTTAACAATGATTCATTCCCCAAATGTAACACCCAAGTTGATTTGGATGATTGAATCGTACTGCATTTCAATTCAAGACAGTCGTCAAGTGTATCGCTAAGTGTTGCACACTGATTTAGTTTTATCTCAAATCAGTGGTGAGATAGGCGTTATCTCAAATTCGCAGGTACCAAATATATTTCCTCTATTTTCATCATTCAACAACCAAACTTAGCGCTATAAAGAACTCTGTGTATCAAATTATATAAAGAAAATGAGTGATAAAGACACGCCAATCGAATATCAATTTACAAATACTAAGCATCAGTATTTGGCAGCCGTTATAGGTGACTCTGAAGGAATAATTTAATAAAATGTATCGACAATTAATAAGATTATTTCAAAATAGGAAATCTAATGTTTTGTGCACATGGTTCGATGATGGGATGGCCAGGGCCGGCATTACCAATACTGTTGTCCGAAAATACTCCACTAAAAACCGGGCCATTATCAAACGAACAGCTGTCTTGGATCGGATCAATTAGCGCTCTTGCAGCGATTTTAGGCACATTCACTTTTGGCTTTTTCACCATGTTTCTGGGAAGTAAGCGGACAATGCTTTTTCTCATGTTGCCAACAGTAATTTTTTGGGTGCTTATTTACATTGGAGACTCATATTATCACGTTCTAATCGCTCGATTTTCTACTGGATGGACTGGTGGTGGTGTTCAAACCACGGTTATTCTATATATCTCTGACATTGCAAACGATGAGTAAGTGTTGACGCGGAAAAGTTGCCATATTTTTCTGATGAAAAGAGATTATGGATTGTTTTTATGTACCTTTATCGTTTTTCATATAAATATTTGCAATGTTTTCGACCAAAATAGATAACATTTCGACACAAATGTAGCATTTATCGAAAATGTAAACGAAAATATTCCATTCAAAGAAGTTTATTTACTCAAAAATTGTTAAAAGCTAACTGTACGCTAACAGAATTTTTTTGTCAGCTGAACGAATTTTATTAGTAACTAATACATTACGGCTGCGTTTTCAGTTGTATAGCAAATGTTTCATATATATTGAGCATAACGCAGCGGACTGTGAGAGTATTTACATCAAGTTTATTAAAAGAGTTATTAGATTAGTTTCAAATCAATATTTACTTGATTTGAAGTCTCAATCTAGCTTTAAATCAATGTCTGTTGTTGAATATTATATTAAAAAGAATCTATTTGATTTTTAGCATTCGAGGCCGATTAGGAAGTTTTTCTCCTTTATCACGAAATACTGGGGTCTTGATCGTTTATATTTTAGGCGCAACCATTCCATACAAGATTGTACCGTGCATTTTTGTGTTCATTCCAATTATATTCGGGATTTTATTCTTTTTCCTGCCGAATACGCCACAGTATCTACTTGAAAAAGGACAGGTTTTGGTAAAGAAAGACAAAATATTGGAAAATTTTCAAACACATTTTAATATTTTATTCAAATCACTAAATTTTTGTTCAAAAAAATATCATTTTCCCCTCTGAAATGCTACAGAAAGCCGAAAAATCCTTGAAATTTTACAAAGGATACACTGGAAAAAGTGTGGACGAGGTAATTGCGTTTAGTGCCGAATTCGAAAGGCAAAAGGTGATTGCGAAAAAGTTAAAAGTTGATGAGAGAATCATGTTAAAAGACATCTGTAAGTGATGAATCCAATGAAAGCATGAGCTTATTTATATGACAATGTATTTTCCTTTTTAGTTAATCGACATTCAATGAAAGGGCTATTGAACGGCATAACACTGGCGGGCTTAGTGCATTTGTCAGCATCTTTGGTGATTGTAACGTATTCCGTTGTAATTTTCCAGAAAGTTGGTGTTGTACACTTCGATCCATACATTTCATCAATCACAATAGCCGTGATGCAGATAATGGGCACATTGTGTACGACTCACCTTTCAGATTCGATGGGCCGGAAAATACTGTTGATCATTTCATTATTGGGTTCCGCCTGTGGTCTATTCGCATTTTCGTTGTACTCTTACCTTAAGGAGAATGGAAGTGATTTATCAGCATTTGAATGGGTACCCATAGCCAGTTTGTCATTTGTCATATTTATCGCTTCGGCTGGCATCTTACCATTATTTTTCGTGGTAACAGTGGAAAATCTACCATCAAAGGTACATTATCACTTGTTGTACATTAATCTAAAGTGTTGATTTTGAGTGAGTGTTTGTGAATATTCTTTTTTAAAATAATTTTCACAGATTCGTACCGTCGGTTTAACCATATGCAATATATTCCTGAATCTTGCATCGTTCATTTGCTTAAAACTATTTCCAACGTTAACGGTAATAATCGGACTGCATGGGTGTATGCTTATTTTTGGCATTGCATGTATTCTGGGCTCCCTATATATACTATTTGTGATTAAAGAAACTAAGGGTATTTCCATGGATGCAGTTCAATCCAAAAATCACTCTACAAATAACTCTTGCTGAAAAGTCTTTATAAGTATCTTGATAAGGTAAATTTTGTGCGTAAAATACGAAAATTAGATTGAAAAAAGCCAGTAGCATTATTTTATACACCGCTATAATAATACAAACAAATAAATAACACCCTAAATTTAAACACGAGAAAATAGCGTTTTTTTCATTGATTTTAATGCATTGCTATGGCGCGTGTGAGCTTCAAATAGATAAAGTGACGATGACTATTCAGTTTCTTTGACATTCATACCATACTGTTGATATCTACAAAGATGTTTGTTTAAGCTTCTCTAAACGATAAACATATGAGATGACTTGCGTTTGATATCAATTTGATGTTACAAGACGTGAATTTATCTAAAGCAATTTTGCAAAGATATCGCTTATCTTGATAGCAGTTTCTGTATTTGAGAGAAGTCACCACATAGTTGCATCATTTTCTAATTCAACTGGAAAGTGCACGGAGAGTTTTAATAAATTTGTTGAAACAAAATGGGCGATAAGGCACCACGAGACGATTATCAATGGAAAAATCACAGAAATCAGTACCATGCGGCGGTTGCAGGTAATTTTTCGAATTCTTCTTTTTATTATAAATTCTTCATTTGTGTATGATTTCTAAAGCTGAATCAAATTCATAAAGAAATTAATTTCGAGTTTGTTGTAGAGAGTTTGAAAGAACCGAAAGTTAAAATTTATCTAAAATTTATACGTTTTCCAACAGCAAACATCATCTTCCTCGGTCATGGAACGATGAATGGATGGCTTTCACCTGCGTTGCCAACACTTTTGTCAGAGAATACGCCGTTGATAACGGGACCATTAACTAATGAGCAGCTGTCATGGCTTGGATCAATCAGCGCTTTAGCTGGGATTATTGGCACATTCATTTTTGGAGTTATAATTACGTTTTTCGGTTGCAAAAGAGCGATGTTGCTCCTTTCGCTGCCGTGTTTGACCTTCTGGTTTTTAGTTTATTTTGGTGATACATATTATCACTTACTGACTGGGCGGTTTTTTCAAGGGGTTACCGGAGGAGGAATTCAATCCAGCATAGTATTGTACATTTCCGAGATTGCCGATGATAAGTGAGAGATAACGATTGGAAAAGTGTTTTCAGAATAAAAATGTGTTCCGTTTTTAGCATTCGAGGACGGCTCAGTAGTGTGTCACATATAACGAGAAACATTGGAATTCTGGTTGCCTATATCTTGGGAGCATTCATTGATTATGAAACAATTCCGTGTATTTTTCTGTCTATTCCGATCATTTTCGGTGTTTGGTTTTCTCTCCTCCCAAACACACCACAATATCTCCTTCAGAAGGCACAGTTGAAAGTGAGACAAAAACCCAATTTTGACATATCTTCCAACGAATTTTTTGGTTCATTCAATCACAGGTGTTTATCTAAAATTACAGAAAGCCGAAGATTCACTCAAATTTTACAAAGGCTTCACTGGAAATAGCATTGATGAACATATTGCATTCAATGCTGAATTCGACCGCCTAAAATCCATTGCAAATGAACAGAAAGCAGATGAAAAAACACCATTGAAACATATTTGTAAGCAAATGGGTATCAATTTGAGTCTGAGAGAAGTTAATTTAACTCAAATATAGAAGATTCTCCGTCTCTCTCAGACTGAACGTCATATTCAAATTAAAAACTCATTTAAAATGATTTCAGTTGAACGAGACTCCTTAAAAGGCATCCTAAATGGAATAGCGCTGTCAAGTTTGGGCCATTTAACGGGATTTTTGGTATTTATTACGTATGCAGCGCATATCTTTGAGCAAGTTGGTGCATCACAAATCGATCCGAATGTTTCATCAATTGCAATTGCTGTCGTTCAACTCGTTGGCACTTTATGCACAACTCGCTTCTCTGACACACTGGGAAGGAAAGCTTTGCTAATCACATCGTTATTGGGCACTGCTTTTGGGATGATTATATTCGCTTTATATTCTTATCTCAAGTACAATGGATATACGTTATCAGCATTTGAATGGGTGCCTGTAGCGAGTTTATCATTTGTTATTTTCACCGCATCCAGCGGCGCAGTTCCATTGATATTTTTGTGTACTGCAGAAGGTTTACCGTCAAAAGTAAGATAAATGATAAATTACAATTATTTTTCAGCATATTTTCCCACTGTTTCTAATCAGACGTTAATTCAGATAAGTCAATTCAACGTAAGCACCTAATAATTTTCGAACAATTTTCAACCAATTTTAGATTCGAACCGTTGGAATGACAATATGCATGGTATTTATGAATTTAACATCATTTTTAATCTTGAAGCTTTTTCCGATTTTGATGACAGTAATTGGATTGCATGGTTGTATGCTCACTTTGGCAACAGCATGTATACTGGGAACTTCATACGTTTATTTTGTCGTCAAAGAAACAAGCGGCATATCAATGGATTCGATTGGCTCGAAAGGAGGAAAACGAGCTCAAAACAATTGAACGTTTCGAAACCGTTTTTGTTTTGGATTTCATTTCTCAGAACTGTGCTACTTTGTAAATAACTTTTAACTTATTTGCTCACTAGATTACTGTGTTTTTGTTGGTGGTTCTAAAAATTCATCTGGCAAAAACTAAACAAAATAAATCTCTATTGCAAATAACCATAAATTTTGCGAAGACTAACTTTTTTTTACGATTTTTTTTCGAAATTCAAAAGTTTCGTTACGATGGAGGCGCCTAGTTTGTTATGATAACTTATACTTGTTTGTTATGGCTGTGATTTACTCCACGTATCAAATCTCAGTCAATGTTCGCCAATTTAACCGAGTTCCTAGGTTGAGTCGGCTACTTCATAAGTCGACTTGACCTAGAGGAATATTTAACATAAAATGTAAAAGCAGACTTGCACATGGTGGTTGATTTCCGGTTAATGATTTCAAACATCCCCATCTTCTATTCTTAGGTTTTGTTTCTAATTGAGAATTTTTCGACGTTCGCGATGTAAAAGTGATTCATTGCTCATTAAACAAACTTGCCGCAATTGATGACAGCATACAAGAATGCCTCAACAACTGAACAAGATGAATCCACTTTCATAACACTCATGCAACGAATGGACGTGTCTAGACCCATGCAGACAATAGATGCGTTTACGTACATGTTTAAACTGTTTATTGCTATTTATCGTAGACGTCATACATTGTACAAATGCGTGCTGTTTATGTTTCTATAAATCAATCGCTTTTTTACAGAAATCACGATTTTTACTTGTCAACCAGGTCAACGGTAAATAAATCTTAATCCTGTATTCAAACATGTAAATAAAACTTGATCAAACAAACTGTTATAAATCTCATTCTTTAAATTTATCAACAAAAAAACAATTACTTTTATGGATACCATCTGATCACACATCACAAATGATTCTAATGTAGCTTTCAACAGGTGTATGATCTTCCCACGTGTTTTCGCACAACCATATAATTTTGGATTTCATGATTTTTATCACATTTGTTTGAATTCGTCATGAAAATTCTTAGATAAGCATTTGGTGTTTAAAATCTTGTATCTTGTAGCGCATATTTATGAAGAAACACCAAAGCTTAAACATTAGTTAGTTAAATCTCGTGAATGTGAAAAGTGAATCAGTTGAAAAAAGGAGAAACATCATGCGTGATAAAAATAAGGGCAACGTTACCAAAGTTCGCTTGCAAAACGTGGGCAATCAGTATTTTGCGGTACTAATAGGTAAAAAAATGTTGAATAAAAAAATTGAAATGAAATTCGATAATTTTGCGAAATTGAAATAAAATATTCGAATGTTCTTCAGCAAATTTAATCTGTATCGGTCATGGAAATCTACTCGGATGGATGTAAATGTTAAAATACAAATCAAATGAAATTAAATACTAAATAAAATATAAAAAATTTCTTGAAATAATTGTTTCAAAATTTGAATAAAAAAAGGTCACCCTCGCTACCGACACTCTTATCGGAGACTACTCCATTGAAAACGGGACCATTAAATAACGAGCAGCTGTCATGGGTTGGATCGATAAATAGTATCGGTGCATTATGTGGAACATTCAGCACTGGATTATTAACTACGTTTATTGGATGCAAACGAGCGATGATTTTTCTCACGTTGCCATCGTTGATTTTCTGGGTGCTCGTTTTCATTGGCGATACATACTACCACGTCTTAATCGCGCGGATTTTTACTGGCTGGACTGGAGGCGGCATTCAAACGACTCTAATCTTATTTACTTCTGACATCGCCAATGATAAGTGAGTGAAAATTGTTTCTTAGAAAATGCGATTGTGAAGATTTTCAACTTTTTTCTCTGGAAAAATTTGCAGCATTCGTGGTCGACTTGGTTGCTTTACGCCTTTAGCAAGAAATATTGGTATTCTGATGGCGTATATTGTGGGCGCTGCTGTTAATTACTTCATAGTTCCATGCATTTTCATATTCATTCCGATTCTGTTCGTTGTTTGCTTTTCATTTCTTCCCAACACTCCACAGTATCATTTACTACGGGGTGAATCAAAAGTACGATTTTTTCATATATTTTTTTCTGTCTTCTGTCTTTCTCAATTAAAACGGTGATTTTATTTCCTTTTTCTCTTCAATTGAACTTTGGAAGGAAGCCGAAGATTCGTTAAAATTTTACAAAGGCTTTAAAGGAAAAAATGACGAGGAATCAAATGCCCTCAATGAGGAATTTGAACGCTTGAAATCAATTGCGCACGAGAAAAAAGCTGACGAGAAAATTGATCCAAAAGACATCTGTAAGCGTCAAAAAAAAGTTTTTTTCAAACGATTTTATCTTATCAAAATTTGATGTTGCAATAAGACAACAACAATTCTACATTTCAGTTAACAAAGCTGCGATACGTGGATTAGTGATTGGTGTGGTACTGGCATGGCTGACACAATTGACTGGAACTTTTATTTTTTCCACCTATGCGGTTCTGATCTTTAAAAAAGTTGGCGTTTCGCGAATCGATCCATATGTTGCTTCCATTGTGATGGCTTGTGTTCAAATTTTTGGCAGTTTTTGTACAACACAAATCTCAGATCATTTGGGCCGAAAGTTTTTAGTGTTAAGTTCACTGTTTGGCGCTGCCTTTGGTCTGTGTTCATTCGCAATGTATGCGTATTTAGGCCATGTTGGCTTCGATTTATCGTCGTATGATTGGATACCGGTCATTTGTTTATGTTTTGTCATTTTCATCGCATCGGCTGGCATTATTCCATTGGCCGTTGTGTGTACCGTGGAAAATCTTCCGTCAAAGGTAATTTTTTATCAAAAAAATAAATGTTCAGACGCATTCGCGACATAAATTGTTTCCAGAATTTAAGCAAAGTTACACATTTATGCAGATTCGTACACTTGGTTTGACGATATCCACATTTGGTTATAATTTTGCATGTTTTACTTGCTTAAAACTATTTCCACTTTTGATGGAGATGATTGGACTCCATTGTTGCATGGCCATTCTTGGGATTGGTTGCATTCTTGGCGCATTGTTTGTGTTCACAGTGATGGAAGAAACAATGGGACGATCCTTAGAACAAGTCGATAAGGAAGTGGCTAGAGTACACAAGAAGAGTTACGGTCAGTTACCAACCTACGTACCGACTGTTGAAACTTGTCCCGACAAAAAATAAACCAAAATCGTATGAAAAAAATTTGATAAGCATCGGATCATTTGTTGCGAGCTAATTGTATGAAATAGGTAATTGTATGTAAATTTCAGGAGACAGATAAGAATATGTAATAAAATTATTGTAAATAAAATCTTTTAAAGCAAACAACTTCTGGATATTCAACAGCTTTTTCGCATAATGATCTGCGTAAATTTCAATTGTTTAAATGATTTTCATTTTTGTGTTCGAATTCTTTCTTGCAAAACGAACGTTGGCTGTTCACTAAAAGAAAATGCAAAAATTGCTTCACGACCAGAGAAGCGAATGACAACTACAGCATTTTGAGTTTTAGGGAATTGTCCCTGTTTAACAAATTTCATCACATCATACAAAGTTATTCAAGCAGTCGATTTCATTTTCGAAATCAAAAGATGATCGAATTCGAAAGTTATCGTCAACTACCATCGCTTCAAACGACATTTGAAATTTCCCCTTGCGAAAAAAAAAATAAATGGGAACAAATGAGTCAAGCTAGAGGGATTCGGTTGAGGATCCAAACAAACCGAATATTCGGTTTGAGTGCGAACAAACCGAACCATTCGAAACGTTCTGAAAAATGGTTTGTATGGCACATAGACACGTTTATACTCACGTGTATCAGTATACAATACTAACACAGTGACAACACGGTTCAACATTGCTCATACCAACCATTCTCAGAACGTTTCGTTTGATACGGTTTGCTCTGATCAATAGAGAGCAGAGTGAAACCGTTTCGAAATCGGTTTGTATGAGAAACGTCAAACCGATTTCGGTTCCTGGATTCAGTAAATTCAAAACTGATAGAAGTTTGATCATATCAACCGTGAACTCATATAAAATAGGTTCAGCAAAGATAGTCACAACGCCTGTCTGTTTAAGTGATAATTTTTTTTTTGCAATTGAGTGTTAGCCAACATCCAGATGTGAATCTACGATGAAATAATGTAAATAAAAGTGAGCGGTTTAATCATTTTTCTGATAATCAGCAGAAGCGTTGAACCTTTTAATGTTAAGCATTTTTTATGATATTTTCTAAGCGAATTTTTAAGTACACAGAGATAGCAGCATGAGTTCGTTCAGTATGCATTATTTAGGATAATGGAAAAACTTTCAAATTTGTACACGTTGGAATTTTGTTGAGAAATTGTTCACTCTTTTGACTATTTTGACTATTTATTTTTAATAGGTTTGTACCAACCAAATCTATGTTCGTTTTTTCATAGATACATTCACAGTGTGCACTACTGTGCATGCATTATTATTGACGTTACACGTGTCATATGTTTTCTAAAACATGAAAGAAAATTCGCGATGTTCACAAATTTTTCCATTATATTATAATTTCTCGAACAATCATCATGTTGCGGAAATCATCATGACTGTTTGCTCGACCTTCACGGGGAAAATCTCGAATTGGAGATCAAAATATGAAATCAAACGAAAGTAAAACAAAACATCATCCTAAATCAAGCAATTTAAAATTTATTAAATCAAAACAGTTACCATTGTTTACGTTAATTGATAAGGGTATTGTAATTGCTCAAAGAGGGAGTTTCAACACTCTAATAATGCTTTTTACTTCTCCTTATGAAAAACATGAACAAATCCATAAAATATGAATAGATAAACTCAAGTATTCCATTTTAAATACGTCATTGCAGGAATACCACCTGTTGTAAACTACCCAAACAAATTACTTGATCGCTAGCACGTGTTTGTTTAGTGAACTTTATCTATGACATACACCTATTTACTTTATTTTAAGTTGTGCTGATACCTCCTGTTGTCTAAAACAAACAGATTACAAAAAAAATACATTTCACTTTCAAAGAGCTATCAAGTACTTGCCTTGAAACGAAGGATTTTGGTATTATCTATCCAGGGGAATATTGTTTTTGGAAGAAAATACACGAAATGTTGATGATTTTCATTCTCAAGTATAAATTGATGGATTTTAAACGTTGACTAATAGAGTCATTAGTAATGATGATAACTCAATGTAAACTACAAATTGTTATAACAATTTATTGAATGATTTTTAATCAGGCTGAGCCTAATGACTCTATTAATAAGACGGTGTATTATCTACTTTAAGAATAAAATAAAATACAATGCACTCCTCGAAAAACCACAGATTTTAACAGCTCCTAGGCGTACTTACGTTGATTGTATACAACGATTTATTGTTTTTAAACAAAATATTTGTGAACAAACACACGGAAATCACATCATTAAACGGTAGTATGAAAGAAATCAAACTAGATTTTATCGGGAATTTTTATCAACATATTTCGACAATATGGTGCCACAATATTTGAGTTTAAATAAATGTTTATTATTGGAGGGAGATAGCAATTGACTTCCACAATCAATTTTGTGAAATTGGATGTGCCTATTTATAGAGAAACATCCATGTTCATGCATCACTTGGTGTTGAGGTTTTATTTCGTGTAAGCGAAGAAGTGCAAGTGAAAATAAACGAAACCAACAATTTTACGCGGAAAAAATGAAGGATAAAGAAAAGGCTACCCCAAACGAATTTCAATGGCGAAATGCTGGAAATCAATACATTGCTGTATGTTTAGGTAAAGCATTGATCAATACAAATGTATAAATAAATGGTCGAACATTAGAAAAAAATTACTGCGCAGGTTTTGATGACCGCATTGCCAAATTATTTTGGCTTGTTTCAATTGGAGGGTTTCCTTCCAGGGCCCAGCCTCTCTGATCGTCTGTACAAACAGATAGGAAATGTCAAACAAGAACAATAAAGCGGCACCTGGAGACTGGTTGGAGAAATAGAGAATCATGCACATAGTTTGCTGTAACAAGTATGCGTCTGTGTAA